TACAATAAAAATCAGAGAAATTATAATTTTACAAATTAGATTCCCTAGGATTGGTCCTTGTTAAGCAACAAAATATGAAGCAATAACAATGACTTTTTTATGTAATAATTGAATGTATGCTGAAAATTTCTTAAAAGTTCTGTATGAATTTTAAGAACAGTTAAAGTTTCAGTTTCTTAAATGAGTAAAATGTGTATAACAAGATGGACATAAATGTTTCAGTTAAAAAAAAAATGTTAAAAACTTCTATGATCCAGCATTTGAAGAGCAAATTATTGCCCTGATTTAGAGCACTCTGATTTTAATTTCCCTAATATTCCTTTTTACCTAATTCCTTAAGGAATAGGCAACATGGAATTTCTTTTCAAAGATTTATCTGGTTTGTGCCTCATATGATAAATGGTGCTGAATAACAGTGAAGTTTTTGCTTTAAAAAATAAACTCCTTTTACAGAATGTGTAAACTTCATGTGCTTCATTGTTATTCATGTATATAGTTTTGCAATGTTTGTTCTGCAAAATAACTTCTATGGGGCTCCTGGACCATAGTATCTTTAATCAGTGGGTAGTGGGTTTTAACCCTTCTTGAAAATATTACATTGTTGGTTTTTTTTATAGTATATTGCTAAATATTGTTAATGAAAACAAACAAACAAAAAAAAGACAAATTTAGGTGTAAAAACAGTGTAGTGCAATCTTAAAGGATAATTGAAAAAAAAAAATCAAGGAAAGGCAGATTCTGTACTGAGATTTTTAGCTAATGCAAACAGCAAAAATGGTTTGGCTTGAAGAGCACTATATAATTTACTCAACATAGCTATGGATCTAGTCATGTAACTCTATCACAAACTTTTCAAGGCAATGAGTATATCTAGAATAAACAGGTTTCTATGGACATTAACATAATTGCTTAGCTTTAGCATTAGAATGATATAAAACATTTTTTCTCTAAACAGTGTCCAACAGCATACAACTCTGATTCTTATTTAATTTTGTATTAACATAAGACACTGACCTGAATGAAAAGTTAGTAAAGGATCATACTTAAACTGTACTATAATTTATCTTATTTCAATATCTGACCCATAAAATGTATCTGTGAAGGACTAACATGTAAGAAACTTTACCTACTGCATGCAGATTTCATATCACATATGGTGTAAAAATAAAAACACACAACATAAATCCTCTTAGCACTATCAATGAATATATTTCTCTGACAATCTAGGTTGCTTGTATTGACTGAAGATCAAGTACTGACACTGACAATATAGGTAGGAATAGAAGATTTTTTTCTGTCTCCAACTAAAAGAACTACTTTCTTCAAGGTTTTACAACATGAACTGTTGAGGTAGAACTTAAACTATTTGATTATATGTTTAAAAATAAAATAAATAAAATAAATAAAATAAAATACAATAAAATAAAATACAATAAAATAAAATCAAGTCAATTAAAAAAAAAAAAAAAAAAAAAACAATAAAAAGCTGAAAGTTGAACATTGTGAACTATGAGACTCAGATATTTTATGTAAATGTATCATGCTTACTACTTTTGGTATTTCTTTTATTATTATGTACTATTCAGTAAGTCATGTACTAACAGTATTTTTTAAATAACAGCATAAATATAAGCTGATCCATACAGCTGATACATGTTTAGTTAGTTTTTCTGGTTGATATAACTGGTATATATTTAGCTCCTGGAGAAGTATAAAAGCCCAAATGTTCAGTTATAAAGGAATCCTTAATTTACCCAGCTTATTACCTACTAAGAGTGTATATGCACACAAATGTGCATTTTAATAAAAGTGTTTTAAATTCAGCATCAGTTACCTTATGACAAAAAAAAATAAACATAACCATACTTGAAAGTAATACTTATTTTTGGATCCAGAAATATATAATACTTAATTTGAAATATTTTACTGGAAATAGAGAAAGAGATAAATGTGAAGATGGCGTGCTTTTCAAAACCTGGAGTAATTCTGTATCTTTTGAACCAAGCTTGATAAAGTTTGCTCAATAGGCTTCTGTAGAATAAGCAATCAGATAAAAACATATCTTCACAACAACAACAACAACAAAAGTCCTTATTTATAGGACTGATTATGATTACCTACTGTGAAAACATGCACCGCTCATTTGCTGGTGAGATTTGAGAAGAATCACAGAATCACAGAATTTCTAGGTTGGAAGAGACCTCAAGATCATCGAGTCCAACCTCTAACCTAACACTAACAGTCCCCACTAAACCATATCCCTAAGCTCGACATCTAAACGTCTTTTGAAGACTTCCAGGGATGGTGACTCCACCACCTCCCTGGGCAGCCTGTTCCAATGCCTCACAACCCTTTCAGTAAAGAAGCTCTTCCTAACATCTAACCTAAAACTCCCCTCGCGCAACTTTAGCCCATTCCCCCTCGTCCTGTCACCAGGCACGTGGGAGAACAGGCCAACCCCCACCTCTCTACAGCCTCCTTTAAGGTATCTGTAGAGAGCAATAAGGTCGCCCCTGAGCCTCCTCTTCTCCAGGCTGAACAAGCCCAGCTCCTTCAGCCGCTCCTCGTAGGACTTGTTCTCCAGGCCCCTCACCAGCTTCGTCGCCCTTCTTTGGACCCGCTCAAGCACCTCGATGTCCTTCTTGTAGCGAGAGGCCCAAAACTGAACACAGTACTCGAGGTGATGCCTCACCAGAGCCGAGTACAGGGGGACGATCACCTCCCTAGCCCTACTGGTCACGCAGTTTCTGATACAAGCCAGGATGCCGTTGGCCTTCTTGGCCACCTGAGCACACTGCTGGCTCATATTCAGCCGACTGTCCACCATAACTCCCAGGTCCTTCTCTGCCTGGCAGCTCCCCAACCACTCATCTCCCAGCCTGTAGCTCTGCTTGGGGTTATTGTGCCCCAGGTGCAGGACCCGACACTTGGCCTTGTTAAACTTCATGCAGTTAAATGAGTGAGCATTTTACCATTTTTTAATTTTAATGTCAGGAACAAGCTGTTGAGTCATTGACAAATTCATCTTTCCCTCTTAAATTTCTACCTGAGAATTTGAATTCAGTGTGGCAATAAAACCCAGAATCTGGGGAGAAAAACAAAACCCCAATCCATCCACCTTCACTTCCTCTATATAGCTGATTTCAGGAAAAGAAGGGTTCATCCAACCTTAGTTAGAATCATAGAACCTGAGTGGGAAGGGACCCATAAGTCCAACTCCTGGCACCACACAGGTCTACCCAAAAATTCAGACCATGTGACTGCACAGTCCAAACGCTTCTTAAATTCCAACAGGCTTGGTACAATGACTACTTCACTGGGGAGACAGTTCCAGTGTGCCACCACCCTCTCAGTGAAGAACCTCTTCCTGATGTCTAGCCTAAACCTCCCCTGCCTCAGCTTGACACCATTCCTGCAGGTCCTATCACTGGTGATTACAGAGAAGAGATCAGTGCCTTCCCCTCCACTCCCCAGCATGAGGAAGCTGTAGACTGCGATGAGGTCTCCCCTCAGCCTCCTTTTCTCCAGGCTGAACAGGCCAAGTGATTTCAGCCGCTCCTCATGTGTCTTCCCCTCTAGGCCCTTCACCATCTTTGTCACATTCCCCTGAACAATCTCCAACAATTTTACATCCTTTTTGTACTGTGGTGCCCAGTTTTGCCATGCAAGAGTGATCCACTCTAAGCCAAGCTTGTCTAATCTTTCTCCCAACTTCACTCTCCATATATTGCAGAGAAGGCCTAAAACTTGGCTTGCACTAGAAGTTTGGGTTTTAGGTAGAAAAGAGGCCTTTCAATTTTTATTTTTCCAGAAAGCCCAGAAAGCCAAGATTTTTCAAAAAGGAATGATAAAATAACATTATCATTTCCCTTTTAACTAGTTAAGTAATCATTTTGCATTTCACCTATTGCAAAAATAAGGAAAAAAGAGCAAAGGAATCAAAAGATTTTTTAAAAGGGGGGGGGGGGGGGGGGGGGAGGAGGATGGGGTTCTTCCAAAATGACTTTGTTCTTACATAAAATAACATTACATTTTCCACCCATCCATTAAAAACTACAGCATGGATCATTTGGTGCTAGATTTAGCTACACCCGTTAAATTCAGATAGATTGTTATATGACTGGGAAATACCAGAGATATCCATTAAAATATTAAGATAAAAGAAAAGAAGATAAAAAAAAATCAATCACACATTGAATTAAAAATAAATAAATCTTGAAGTCTACTGTACAGATCCTGGAGGTATATTATATTCTCCCTGGACTCTTCGGTCAGCGTTACTGAGTTATAAGAACTAGTGACTCTGACAAACAGGGTTGTTTTTTGTTTTGTTTTGCTTTTTTTTCATACTGAATCATCAATAGATATTTTCAACATTCCTAATTTAACTGACATTTAAATCCTGATAACCATTTTATTGATAAACAAGTTTTAAAAGTTTGAGAATGTAAGTACAAATATAATAAAATAGACATTTAGCAAAAATATATGACTCTACTTCCCAAAATCTAAAGATGAAACTCTGTCAAACCCATCAATTAATTAATCTTCTGATGTGTTGACAACAAAGTTTTATTATTTAAGGACCAGCTTTTTTATCCAAAGGCTACAGTGTAGGTATGCTTCAAACTATCCCTGCCATAAACATAAGTCACATTGCTACCAAAGAACTTGTTTTTCTTTAGCCCAGTCAGAAAGGCCTAGAAGTGGAAGCACTTTAAAAATATATGATCTAAGAATGTGTATTTAATTTGAAAGACACATAACTTCTAAATATGCTCATATACGAGTTATTCTATTTCAGTAGCCTTTTGGAAAGACTACAGAAGAATAAATTTCAAGATAATCTGAATCCATTCTAATCCAAATCACTTGCAAAATTTTATCCAAATATATCTTTGCAGCAGGTGCAAAAAGATTAGTCTTAAGCACCACACCCATGGGTCAATTCTAATTCTTGCTCCCTCCCTCCCCCCCCCAAAAAAAAAAATTAGTTTTAATTCGTTAAGAATTACCTTTTAATGAAATTAAGAATACACTTTTAGAGCTTCTGTTTAGTGTTGTACATAGTATTAGAACACCACCTAGTTTATCCAGAGCTGGCTGAGCTCCAGTAATTGGAATAATGATCATTACATGTTTGTTCTGTTCTCTTTGCATTACTGAAAGCTCTGGCTGTTTAAATTGAAGGCACTATATAAACCTAAGACTATTATTACTGTAGAATAAAGGACCCAAAAGACTCAGGGAAAAAAAGCACAAAATTATAAGCATTAATATGATAGTGATCTTTGTTTCTCCATATTCCAATTCAGACGTGACTGCATAATGATATTATGTTATCATATTGTTTAATCTAATCTTCCAACAAACATTACAGCATAACATTATAAAAAGCTTATTCGGGGAACATTAATTTGCCTTGCAGATTGCAGAGTATGGAAATAAGGCACCTTCTAGTTTCTCTTTTCCGTTATTGACAGAACTTCTAGTAATTGCTCCTCTGGAAGAGATTAGAGAGAGTGAAGGTTAAAACTAAGAAAGAGAAAAGGTAAATAAATTAAGTAGGGGACAAAGACCTGCAATTATTTGCAATGACTGCAAAATATTTGATTTTTTTTTCCTAAAACAAAAGGGGATTTTCTCTTCTACAAAATAAAATAAATTAAAATAAAATAAACTCTAATATTTTAGTTTAGAGAATGCTAGTAAATCTCTTTTTCTCTGGGTTCTTATCTCCAGTGACATAAACCATTTCATTTGTCGACATCATTTAAATAGCAGGTATTATTTGAACTTTGCATCACTTCAAAAGCCAAGTAGCAGCCAGAACATAGTGAGTTATACTTCTCACCACCCAATCTATGGGACAATTGTGTGAAAATTCTTTTACAAAGCTGTTGGTGCTCCAAACACCGGCTGAAAGGATCTGGGGATGTTCCAGACAGCCCACACGAATGAAAGCTTTCTTAACCTACATTAAATCTTGATAATACAATAATGAGTCTTTTAAAAGGATCATTCTAATTCCCCTATCTAGTGCAATAAAGACTGTATACAGCTAATCTGCTTTGCCCTTTCAATTAAACTCGTCCAGGACGTTCTACGTAGTCAGCACCCTGAATGAGTCATTAAAATTCTCGTTCTGTAAGAGTTGTGTGCAGCGCACTGTTGTTTCTAAATTCCATTAAATCCAAATGGTCTTTATCGCCCCATGACCACTGTGACTTCAATCAGCCAATTTAATTACCTTACCAAATTGTCAGCAGAAGCAGCAAAGAAAAACAGGAAGGGCTGTGACGTTATCAAATTGAAATCTTCCTCTGCGCTGTTTAATCTGGAGCAGTCAATAACAATGCTTCTCACCTCCTTGCTACCTTCCCGAGGCTCTTAACCTTACTCTTCTTTCAAAGATTTCTGTTGCTGTTTATAAGACTGATTTTGAACTCGTCTCCGTGAGGATGTTAACACGTATTGAAAGCTTCTTGTCCTTGGCAGTAAAATATTCGTTGGCTCTAAGTGCTGGAATTACCAAACCACGGACCTCTAGGGCTGCTACAACAAGTGTTTACTTTGCAGATATTCATCGCACTCTGGATCGGAAGGCAGGCTGCTGCCTTCACGACCAAAACCAGCCATGTACGTTCTCCCGTTTCTCTCTTAAATACGCGCGGAAAGGTTGCATCCTTCCACGAAAGAGTGCCAGTGCAAAATCCAAAGGAAAGAAATTGCACATCAAAGAGATCTAATGCATGTCCATTCCGGTAAATCTCTACTTGGTCACCCAGCGGCTATTTATCACTTGAGCTTGTCTCATAACCTTTTGCAGAGGCTTAGCTCTCACTGCTTTTCCACGTCTTTGCTGGCTTTAGATGGTAAAAATGGTCACCTGAACCTTTGAAACGTATAGCTCGACAACCACCGGCAACTGCACAAGCCATGGACGCAGAGAGCTAGCCTCCTCGCTGGTTTTGCCAAGCCCTGTCTCGGGAAAACAGTTTTGTGGAGATAAACTCAATCCGTTTGAGCCAAAGGAGCTCAGTTAAGTAGTATGGCAGATTACACCCCTGCCGCACCTTCACGAGAGAGGTTTCCAAAGTGCAGAGTTTCCCTCTTTAAGTTCCCACAATGGATTTGAAAATGAGGTCGTTTTCTATTCTGTCCCAAAGATTACATGATCATCTACAGCTCTGCTTTGCAACTATTTTAACTGTTTTCCTTTTGTGTAGTAAAACAGGAAAGTGTTAAGTTTTGTAATGATATGGTGCGTTGGCTTTGTTTTTCTTTTTTGTTTATCTATTTTTCTTCAGAAAAGAAAAGGTCAACAGTAGGAAATTATTTTGTGAAGAGTTCAAAACTCTACCTTCATTCCTTGAAAAGTATTCTACCTCTTTCCTCTTGGTTTTATTTTGTTTTTAAATTGGGGGTAGGCGAATCCTCCTTCCCTTGTGCCCCCCTACCCCTTTTTATATATATAACACATTCTAACCTGCAACACTCATCTCCCTTTCTCACCTGCTTGAAGCCGGGATTCACTGGAAATACCCACAACGCCAAATCAGCGACGAGGCAAGACTACAGACACGGGCCTCTGCTTTTCTTTTCTTTTTGAAAGAGCTGAAGTAAGGAGAAAAAAATGCCCGGTAATGTGGGGAAACTCTTAGCAGGCCAGTGGGCTCCCTGAGGAGCAAATCCTAAGTCCTTCGCACACTTTCACTTGAGTTACCTGAGGGGGAATTAGGAAACGCAAGGGCCAAACCTCTTTCACCTCCCGCTCACTGCTCCATATTCAAACCTTTGATGTAGGGAAGACGGGCAGGGTTTTGTTCCGCATTGTCTTCGGCAGCAGAGACAAGGCCCGAAGCGGGTAATTTAAATAAAGAGTATTTTAGAGTAGTCCAAAGGAAGTAGAAAGCATAGGAACCGGGGAGAAAAGAGGGGTTTTAAGTAGCCCGGCGTCTTACTGCCTTGGACGAGACGAGTAGGCTTGTGTAAACAGGTGAAGAGTTGCTGATGGGTAACAGCTCTTAATGGCTTGTTCATTCAGCCTCATGAGTGCTGGGGTGCCCCGAGGGGAGAAAAAAGAAGAAGCGAGCGGGGCCCGGCGGGGCCGGGGCTGGGGAGTCTGTACGGAGCGGCCCGGCTCGGCCCGGCCCGACCGCGTTACCCGGGCTTCCCGGGAGCTGCCGTCGGGCTCTTCCACGGGAGCAGAGAATGGGAAAGCTACGAAACGCGATCCCCGATAATGGAGCGGATCCGCCGACGGGCACAGATTGGGGCTTTCGTACGGTGCCAAATGATAAGGGAACGGTTTCCATCACACTTAGCTACGGAGAGACAAATGCTAGGCAGCTGCTTTTCTCCTTTCTCAAGCTGGGACCCGACCCTTTATCCACATTAGTGGTATACACTTAGGTTTAATTTAGCAATGTTTTTTGTTCTTGTTTGAAACCCTCGAGTGTGGTGGGTACAAGCCTCACTCTCAGTAGTCCCTGGGCTTGCCCGTGGGAAGCTATTCACAAACGGCAGAGGCTGGCCGCAAGCCCCATGAGGTGAGGTGGCCCTGAGGAAGGGTGGTGGTGTGATGCCCAAATACCATGTTGCCTGACTCGAGTGCCGCCAGAGAGTGACTGATGCCATCGCACCAGCCTCTCGCCGTTCCTGCTCCATAAGGCACGGACAAAAATACCCTGCTGCCTTTGACCCAGGCGACTCGACTTCCCTGTGTGGTTGCTAAAAGGTATGTGAGAGTGAGAGTGAAAGTGAGAGAGAGAGAGAGAGAGAGAGAAAGGACGTGCTGGCTAGTCCCAACAATGACAGAAGCCGTGGGAAGGACAATGTGAATCCACGGTGGTTAATTTGCACAGGAGGAATGAGGGGGCTGCAGCTCTGGCAGGTTTCAAGCTCTCCCCCGTTGCCATAGCGCTGCTGGCTGAGGAAGAAGAACGGGGGCTGGCAGGCTGCCTTCTGGAGGGAATCTCCTCAGCCCTCGCTTCTCGGGAAGGACTCCACGGGAAGGCACGGGCATCCCGGCCTCCTGGTCGCAGAAGAGACAGATAGCACAGGAGCCCGGAGGAGTCGGCAGGGAAATCCCCTTTCAGAAATAACCAAAGCTCTTTCACAAAACTCCCTGTTCCTTCCCTCCTCCCCGCCATGCCCTACGCACAGAGATGTCACCCTCTGGGGAAGGGGCCGGGCGGCTCTGGCGGTCAGAGTCGCTACGCACCTGAACCAGGCTAAACCCAGACTCCTCACAGCATGGATGTGCAACAGGCCCGGCTGAGCAGGGGGAAAGCCTTCCTCGGGCTCTCTTACTTCTAAGATCTCCCATACTAAAATAAACCAAACAACACTCCTTGCTTCCAAGCCTCACAGTTGGGTTGGCGACATTTCTTTTTACAGACAAGAAAAAGGAGTCCGTGCTTCAGAAGCAGGCTCATACTTCGCTGCTACAAACAATGAAGTGAGCGTAACCCGTTAACCGACTAGATGACCCGGAGGCAGTTCGGAAGGGAAGTTAGCCTAGAAAAATACGTTCCTGTGCCACCATGTCACTGGGTGCTGGAGTCCCGCTGCACCAGCCTCGGGTGTCAGGATTATTGATTATTTGAATCATTGCCAAAATGCTGCTCACCAGGGCTGTCTCTACAGGTACGTTGGATCAACAGTTCAGAGAGGATGCTAACCTAAAGGAGGAATGCTCACCTCTTTCCAATGGTGTTGCCGGGAAGATACTTGTTTACATAGCTACCTTTGAGATTAATTGAAGGGTCCTGGAGACCGACCCTCGGCTCCGCCTATGAATCCCGGTCTGAGGAAGGACGGACAGATGGACAGTGCCAGACCGCAAGCAGCCCCGGTGCTAATTTCACGGCCATGACTACGGAGCAGACTGAATGCAAAATAAGCCCCGCAATGATATACGGACCCGTTTAGCCATGTCCAAAGAAACAAGCATTCCTGAAGACGGTTGCTAGGAGCAACGTGCCTTAAGCACCACCTTTAGATCAGATGGAAGCAGAAAATAAGTGCTACTAGGAATTCAGCACACGAGATCAGTAGCAGCCTGGTGACTTTTTCATCATTACTAACCTTCCCCACATAAAAGTGTATGCGGGGGGGAATTTAAGCAAAATTAGAGGCAGACCGAGGCGCTACTCCCAGGCGAAGACAAGAGCCTTTAGTGCCCCACGGAAAGGGTTGTAGCGGCTGCTAACAGCTTACAGCGGCCACTTCAAGAGCAGGTGCTTTCCTCCCTCCAGCCACACTGCCGGCAGGCACAGAGGATGCCGCTTGTCCGGGGATGCAACTTTCGGGATGCCCCCTCGCCCGCTGCGCCTGCGGTGTCCGGGCGGGCGCGGACCGGGCGCGGGGTCCCGCCGTGGGGCCCAGCCCGGAGGCGCTCCCCGGCCAACACATACTGGCTCGGAAGTGAGGTTAACTTTCCCTTCCGTCCTGCCCTTGCTTACTGTAAAACTTCTGCAGAGGATACACAGCGGCCGAAATTCCTCCCTCGCTTGCTTTCTTATGCACACGTACACACGCGCGGACACACGCAGAGCTCTTGAGGTTAGTTGCATGGTCCGGGTGGGATAGTCTTTAAACTGTGAAACCCCTCTGCTCACCTTGAAATTTCATTCCGATAGATGTTTTTTGTTCTCCCTTCTTCCCTCTTTTTTTTTTTTTTTTTTTTTTTTATGGGGTTAGGATGGGGACATGTTGGACCTCTTAGAACTTTCCCCGCAAGCCGTGTTTTTGAAGAGTTCCGTAAAGACTCTTTCGCGATCACGGAACAAGGCATAAACCATCTCTTGTTTAACCCAAAAGGCCACCGAAGTGGCAAACGCTGCCCGGGAAGCCAGCCCGCAGGTCTCGCATTACAGCGTCGCGCCCATACGGAGTCGGCTCGGATGGAGCAGGGACGCGCGACCGAAACTTAACAACTAGTTGACAGATTTTAACTGATCAAGCACTGCGTTAGCCGTGCTTTCCACTACTATGGAAACAAAAAGGTACATTACGAGGAAGCCACGCAAGCTCCGCAGAGCCCTAGGCAAACGCGTTTGCCAGTCATTTTTCTCTCCATTGTTATTATAATTATCATCACCGTGCCGTTACTACGGCTACAATGAGCTGCAGCGACAGAAAAAACACACAGCAATTCATCCCTCCGGATGCAAAATGCACAGGGACTTCGGTACTTGACTCCGGTAGCACGTCCCAGCTCTCCCCCTGCACCCCCTTCTGAGTCAATCCTACGTAAATCGCATTCAGGCTTAAACGCACAATGAAAAAGTGTCGGGAAATCTTACCAAATCTTAATACATGTGTAGTTCCTTGAGAATATCCAATCCACAGTAAGCAAAGAAGGAGTCTAGTGGTGCATCTGAAGACTGGATTAGTTAGAATAGGGGAAATAATCTTCATGATGTTTCTATGCACACACGCGCTGCCTTACTTCCCCCTTCTAAGCCGTCAGGTTTCCCGGTAGGGTGAGAATGAGGATACGTAAACTGATGGCCCTCAGACACGATCACGGCATGGTCACAGACAGAGGAGAGAGTCTACGCTTCCCAAACCCATTAGCAATCCCTGCATGTTCTTCATTCACTGCGCCAAGGAGCAACCTTCAACTGCAAGGAATGGTGGGACATCCATGTTAGTCGGGGGAGAATCCTTGAGAAATCCAAACACACACAATGTCCAGCCGAGTAAACCTGGGAGGCAAGAAAGGAGGAAAATCAATAGGTAATCCAGCTCGAGAAACCGCTGAGGTATCGCCACATAGCGAGAGTCAATGAGCACCAGCCGTTTTACTGGCGAAGCTTTTGCCGTGCTCCCATTCTACTGCACTGCTGCACAGCTTCTGACGCGAAGCCAAGATTAAGTGAGAGAAATTGAGATAGCTCTTCTCGTCTTAAGGCTGCCTGCCAGACAGCCTTCCCAATTCCTATTATGCAACCGATCTGATCGCCTAGTGTTCTCGGAGGAAAAAAAAAAAAAAAAATGCAGCCCGGTTTTACATACGTGTTTTTAATTGTTATTAGTATTTCGGTTGTTCTGGACAATATCTGTAGGGATCTGTGGCGGGGGGTGGGGAGGGAGAGGAGAGGGCTGTAGGAGAGAAGGGAATCGGCTTTATAAAAATCAATTCATGCATTTTAATAGCTGACAGGCTGGGTCGAAATCACTTAGCTTTAGAGTTGTGAAAGAGAAGGCTGACAACAAAGTCATGCAGGTTGTCAGAGCAACGTTTAGGCTAAAAAAAGATCTTGATATTCACTAACGTTCACTAACTGTTGCTTACTCACTTTAATGCATGAAATAGGATAAATGTGATAGTTTTTATATTGTCTGTCCATAGGAACTTGCCCCGGACTCAGTGATTACGGAGCACCAGCCTGCTTCTGCAAGGTAAACAGGAGCAGATAGTGGATACAACAGCCTTGTTGAATGCACAGACTTGTATTTCAGTTTCGCTCAACTTGCTTGAGATTTCAGTATTTTTTAAAAAGACGGTGACTTATGGATTTGCCTGTTTGTATTTTGCACTCTATTCTGCCACTTTTTTCTTTTTTTTTTTTCTAACACACAGCTTTCCTTTCACTCTAGTATTATCGAAGTATTGCTGTTCCTCCCTGTACTAAGAGGTGCATGTAGTTTGTCATTTTGTGGTCCTCAGTGAGAACAATAGCACTCTCTAGTTTGATAACGGGATACTGAGTTTATATCTGCAGCTGCAGCCATTGACTTTTGTCTTTTGGCCAGGTGTTCCAAAGAAGATAAACTCACTCTCTGGACTACTTCAGATTTTTTTTCGGAAACACAATCAGTTATGTGCTTGTGACCATTAAAATATGTTGAACCAGGACTGTCAGACTTTACAATCTAAGTGAAGCTTTTGCTGAACCTACTTAAACATTATTACAAATATTAAAAGACAATTCCTAGATTCCCCACAAGGAAATGAATTCATTTTATTCTATATTCTGCCTACAGAGATCTTTTGTCTCCTTTATCTCCCTCGTTGCCTTTTATTACCAAAGAAAATATCACTAAGAGACTTCCCCCACACATACATATAGATGAACACAGAATATACCTGACCTTACAGAAATAAATACCAATGATGCCAAGCTAATGAGAATAGTCTGTGGAATCTATCAGAAGGAGAGCATGGCAAAGGTGAGTTCCAGTTTATTTTTAAATGACATCTGTGTATCTTGGAAATGTAAAGAATTTAATTTATTACTTTTAATGTTGGTGCTTTGTATCCCTGAAAGTGTTAGCAATTCACAGTAACTTTTTTTTTTTTTTTTATCATTATGGCTTATGATTTTCTCTGCATGCATTTACTAAAACACTGTAAAACGCTGATGAAAAGAAATGTACGTTCTGTGAAGGGATTATTAAACATCATCGATTTTTTTTTTCTTTAAGATGGAGGCATAACTGCAGTGTCAAAAATAAGTATCATGAATGGCTAGTTCTGCAGTCTAGCAGGGAATTCAATCAGACGATTTGACTGTTGGAGCACTTTAAAAAGAACACCTAGTGCTAAAAGCAAGGATATCTAGCGACTCCTTCAGTTCACACTTAGAATATCTCCTAGGGAAAAAAAAAAAAAAAAAAAAAAAAAAAAAAAAAAAAAAAAAAAGCACAGATCGAGATGCTCTTTCTTGTATTTGCATTTTTTTTTTTCTGTTCTACTTGTTCATATTTTATCTTAGTCCAAGGAGAAATAAAACTGACATGCATGAACACTGTGAACGTTCTTTCCTTCCTCATCTTTCCCGTGGTGTTACTGAAATAAAGGACATTAGGCATCTTTTTAATTCTGACTGCACATATGTAGCTTCCTGTCAAAACTGTTTTTTTAATTTAACTTAGCACTGGTAAGCATTTCTGAAAGCATATGATTCATCAAGAGCTTTAGCACAATTGACAAGACAAACTTTGGGCAAAGCGACCCCTTTAATCAGTCTGATTTTCTGAGGTATCTTTAAATAAATAAATAAATGCAGCTACCTGTAATCAACCCCAGCAGAGCTCCTACGATTTCCTAACTCACCCAGGCATTGCTCCCACACCTTGAATGACAAACCAACGTATGATCAATCCCTTACACTGCTAACCGCTCAGCTGTCTCCCGGACCCTCCGGCCGCACGGGTAAGGCTGAGGCCGAGTTTTTCCCTTTCCTCCACCGACGACAGCTGAGCGGCACCACGGACAGAGCCCGGCCCGGCCCGGCTCGGCTCGGCTCAGCTCTGCACGGCTCTGCTCCTTCAGCACCACGGAGAGCTCTGCCGACCCCGCCGGCCAGCCCCCGCCTCGCCAGGTCGCACCAGGCGTCCCAACGCCCCCGCCAGTCATTTCGCGACGCGGAAAGAAAATCGCGATACGCCATCGGCATCCCTACAGGCACGTCTGGTAGCCTGGGCGATGCCAGCTGGCCCGCTGCCTTGTGGAGGTTTGTGGGATCGGGAGGAGTACCACTCTCCTCCTCTGAGATCACCATCGCCTAATGCCCTGTGCCAACGCCACCTCTCCCTTCGTTCACATCCTAGTGATCTCGTAGTTAATCGAGATTTACTTCCCCAAGAATATCGGTTCCTTATCAAAAAGTAAAACTTCCAAGACATAGGAAGTATTGAATATGAGGTGACTGAAGACTATTTATACACTATACAATTAACTACAGCCTCCGACTTCACCACCCTAGATTCCTTTTCTCTTGATTGGACTTTAGCTTCTTTTATTCTTTGTGAGAGGGAAGGGTAATCTTTAAAAACATACTTTGGTCCACCCTCCAGAATAATTTTAGCATGAGATCAGGAAAATGTCCTTAACTCCTTTCATATTTCCTTCCCTGTGAGACATACAGTTCAAAGGTTGGAGATCCCTAATCAAATATTCTGCTGGAGAAGCTGGTTTTGTCTCTCAGGGGCTTGTCACCGCTGTTATGCAGGTCTTTTCAGATTAAAGTCTTTATGAAACAGCCCTCCTCACTTCAGTGATCAGCAACTGGAAAATCTACAATTCCTTGGCTATACGTTTTAATTTCTTTTACATTTTGTCCATCTATATTAGGCATAGTGATAATACATTTTTAATACACAAGGACGATGTTCAAGTGAAGCTGGTATGAAAAATAGCATTCCAGCTATAAGGGGAAAGGAGAATAGATTCTCTAAGGCCTTTAAACCTTTTCCGGCTAATAAAAGCCTACTAAATTCTTTGGGTATGTGTCAGGTATAAATGGTGATCTTATGTACCTAATGTTTCATTTGGAAAGGAGAGATATGTGATTCTGATTACCTTATTACATCAGGCACTTTTTTTTTTTTTCCTTCAGAACATATTTTCATGTGCTGTTATCATAATAAAAGTTAATCCAGTTCCAGCTAGCTGCCACCTACTGGGATGTATAGTTTTACCATATCACTTTAAAAAAGAAATGGCTTTCATTTTCAGGTCATAGCTATGTCTCTAAGAACAGACGATAGGGTTTTTTATCACTTATTCTACAGTTTTGTCCTCTCCCAACATCAACTGATATAAATTCGCATGTATTTAACATGTGACCCCAAAGCTTTGTCTTTCGGGCATTTTTTGGCAAATTCTTGCAAAGACTTACATGCCACCACGGTCCTCTGAGTGTTGCAATCTGGTGTGAGGAGAGCCACAGCTTACCACAACACCTGACTAGCCTCTCCAGATCAGACAAGTATTGCAGCTTTGCTGACAAAGCAGTAACACAGTCCTCCCTTTTTAAAGGTTTCCCTAGGTATTCGGACGAATGTTGATATTATCATTGAAAAACACATTGTGGCCCACTTGCACTTCACTCCCATCAGCTCTAAAAATCATAGGTTCCCCTCTGTCTGTTATTAGCTCAGTCCAAATTTACAACCAAGTTTCTGCTACGCTGATGATTAATGACATTTTAAGATGGTAATTAATTTTTAGCTAGCGGAAAGACGTGCATTCTAATTAACGAACTGAGTATGCCATAGATTAACTTGTTCAGGCACTTTGGGGTATCACAGCAATGCACTTTCCTAGCAGGTTTTAAGCAACGAGAAGAAATATTTATGACATTATCTGCAGATCAGCCTTTCGTCCCTTCAGTTTTCTTTGGGCTGGGGAAGCTGTGAACGATTTCAGAGAGGGAGGAAGGATGTTTAACATTCTCCACGCTCTACTCCACCAAAAGTTTCTAAGGAAAACGTGAAGAGAGGTTTCATTATAATGTATTCTTTCCTTCTCAGTGCGCAAGGGCTCTTGCAGTCATGCCGCCACGCTGTAGGCAGGAATGTCTCTTGCTTCACACAGAGTGTCGGCTCCCTGGCTGGGTTAGCGACGGATGCTTTCCCAAGGAATGCCGAATTTGTTCAGAAATGAACCACCGGAGTGCCGAGCAGCCGAGAGGTGGGTGCCGGGGTAGGGCCAGGAGGAGACCCTACGGAAGTAGCGACTCCTGTCCACCCACAACTCTAGGGAAGTTGCAGCCCGTTTCTCACCTCGCCTCCCCCTAGCGAGGGGGGGCACCGCCTCCTGGCTCTCGTCTCGGCCACCCCGAGACCGCGGGGCACAGCCCGGGGCTTCCGCGGGAGCCGGGCGGGGGGCACCAGGGGGGCTACACTGCCCTAGCCCCTCGCCCCCACTTCCCACCCTTCCGCCCCCAGCCTGGGGCTGGTGCGAAGCAGCGCAGGGTGGGGGGAGTGAAAGGCGACAGAGCCCAGCGTCAGGATCCGGCCAGCCCAGGGTCCTCCAGCTCAGCGCCCCCCTTTGCCCGGAGACACCTGGCCGAGGGACAGCGCAGCGACGGTGCTTCCCCACCCACCGCTACCGCCCCCCCCCCGCAGCCCCTCACTCGCATGCAGCCCCTCCGGCCGTGGCGGCCAGCCGGAGACCGCGGGACATCATCCTACCTTGAGCTGAGAGAGGGGAAGCGGGGAGGGAGAGGAAGGCGGAGGCGGGGGGAAGAAGGGCGGTGGCAGGACGCCGGGGGATGCCCGGGCTGCGGTGCAGCCGGCGTCCGGGCACCACTGACGGCGGCTGCAAGCGGCGGCCAAGGGAGGGAGGGAGGGAGGGAGGGAGGGGAGGAGGGAGGGAGGGAAGGAGGGAGAGAGCGAGGGGAGGAAGGAGGGAGGAAGGAAAGGAGGGATGGAGGGAGGAGAGGAGGGAGGGAGATCCGCCTCCCGTCGGGAGCGCTGCACAGCGCCCTTTAAAGGAGCAGAAACCCGCTTTCTCCGCGGCCGCCGCTCCGCGCTCGCCGCAACGCCGAGCCCCGCGCCGGCGGCAGGGCTCCGCGGGCGGCCGGCGAAGCAGAAACGCTCCCGGCTCTCCCTCCCCCGCCACCGCCCGAGGGGCCGAGCTCGCCAGGAGGCGCCCTTCCAAGGCACGAAAAATCTGATCGGGGTCCCGCAGCCTGTTTTGCAAACACAGAGGTGTGTGTGTGTGTGTGGCGGGACGGCTTTGGCCCTCCAGGACGGCGCCCAGCGACCCCCCCCCCCCCCCAACCCCGCTCCATCTCGTGCCCACCGGGGTGCCAGAAAAAGTCCGGGTGCCTTTGGCTGCTTGCTCATGGTGAACCCCGACTGCCTCCCCTTCCCCCCCCCCCCCCCTCCCCCAGGCCTCCTTTTTCCTTGGGCTAGCGGGGACTGAGCTCGGACACTTTGTCACCACCCTGTCCATTCGGACAGAGGGCCGGGGTGGAAGCTCGTAGGAGGGCGAGCAAAGCGGGGACGAGAAGGACGCAGCGAGCCTGGGCCCGCGGCGAGGGGGGGCAGAACTAGAGCCCCCCATGGGAGCCGCCACCGCCTGCGCGCCCCTCCCGGCCCGACACGCTCCTCAGCGGGGGGATGAGCTGGGGTGAGAAATGTAGTCCCGTCTCCCCTCCTCGCCCTCTGGCAGGATTTCCAGTGCTCTCCTCTCTCCCCCTGCTCCGCTCGCCCCCGCAGCGCCACAGGCATCTGCCTAATTCCCCTCTCCTCCCCATTGCGTTCCCCGGCTCGGACGTGCCTTGAAGCGCTGCAGGGTTCCCCCACCCTCAGCCTTCCCGAGGTTCGGTCTCCCGGCAGACGTGCGGTGCAGTTTGACTGGAGAATTGCCGTCCCCTTGCCTTTCCTTCACGCCAAACGCCCGTCCCCGCATCCGCGGGGGAGCGCTGCCCGCACCCCCAAAAGGATGCTCAGGGTTTTCCCTGCTCCATCCGCCCAAGCGATCCACCAGGGAGCCGCGGTTATCGGTGCCGGGCGGGCTCGGAGAGCGTCAAAGAGATGGGGCTGGGGCGGGTGGGGGCTGGTGACTGAGAAGCTCCTATAATTAAGTAAACAGCAGAGTTGTTGTGCGGAGTAAATAAATAGTCAATGATCCCATTGTTGGGCCGGGCGCAGGCGGCACAGACCGCGACGGGCTCGCCGCGATTGGGCTCTGGCCGCTGTGACTTGCAGCCTAATCGCCCCGCAGCACAGCTCTTAATTACTTGCAGTGCGCTTCCATGGCCGACAGAAAATTCATTAGTCACTCCATCCGCCCCAAGCTGTAATGGAGATAACTCTTGTGAAAAACCAAAGGCAGCGGCAAAGCGAAGCGCTTGGTGCCACCCTGGGAGCGAAGGGCACCAGGCAGGAGGCTCCTCGCCGGGGGGAACCGTGTGGTTGCTTGTGGGGCCGCAGGAACCCAAAGGGGGCAACCCCGGCTAAAACTGAGCCTGGTGGGGTGCCGCCGGAGGGAGAGGCGTCGCGGGGATGGCCCAAGCGACCGAGGGATGTCCACGACCTCCGAAGGCGAGGCCGGTTAACACTGCGGGCAGGTGGAGGGTGGGAAACGTGCGAGGTCTGATGAGCGAGTAACACCTGTGCGAGCAGCGGCTCGGTGATTCCGGCCCTCTTTTGTCGCTGACTGCCTTTGTGCTGTTACTCTCCAGAGTTTCCAGATATAAACACAGAACGAGGCAGTCATATAAATATACGGGACTCAACGGTGTCTTTCTAAGATGAGAGAAAGGAAGGCAGGGGGAGAAAAGGGGTGTGGCATTTTATGTCTATTATCACACATAGATTGTGTAATACCTTCATGAAATCGTTTCACCTAAGCTACATCCATGCACAGTCTTTTCCCTTGTTACTTGGATTACAGTTCTGTCCAGACATGGGATCCTCAGTTTTACTCAGCCTACAACATTTTACACAGAATCCTTAGGCAGGCGATTCCCAATGTCACCAGAGCTGCCACCAACTTCTATCACTCTGGATATCTGAGGACTTCACATAAATACCATTATTATTCAAGTGAAGAAATTTGGAGCAGGAAAACATGAGTAAGTCAAAGATTGCTCTAAAAACCTGTGACATAATAGGAAGACAATATAGGATTCTCTTTTCTCATGCTTTGATTACTGTAAAAGCCCATAATTTCAAAACTGACGAAGTTTCTAGTTATCTTTCCAGTTTCTTCCCAGTTACACTGCAGGAGCTTTGAACTTTATCGGCATCGAACACCAAAAAAAAAAAAAAAAAGAGCATATAGGAAAGCACAGGCCCAGCTTGCCACTATTCAAAATAAGATGTACTGGCGAATGTGTCATGCAAGATGCTGGGCTCTTACAAGGATAAACAACAACAACAACATAAAAACAATACAAAAACAAAACCTACAAGCTTACTCACTTGCTTTTTTTGATTGTTGATTATTTTAATGTTATATCTTCACCAGTAATTTAAAACATTTTTTCAAATGTGAATAAGAACTTCACCCCAATTAAAAAAAAAAAAAAAGGTAATTGAATTTGTAAACATCTTCAAAAGAATGGTTTCTAGGTTTGTTTGTTTTCCTCTTAATTATTTCTGAAGATATAGAATGGAATAATATGGGTTTATCACAGTCCCATCCCATTAGGTGCATTTGCACCTTGATGTTTGAAATGATGTAAACTTGTAGCGCAATTCCCTTAAGCATTTCAAAATAAAATATCCAAGGATGTCAGACTTTATTTATTATTATTATTATTATATTTTTCCTCCACATAAATTTATCACTAGTACTCAGCACATTCAATATTTTTTTTCTTTCCTTGCTTCAGTTTGGGTGAGCTATGCCAATGTAAACTCTGGCAAAATTTTAAGATCTTTCAAAAGAATTTCAGTGGAAATCTGTGACACTTCCAGATCTACAAAGACACAAAACTAACCAATATCTTCTCTGAGGTGTTCTCATATAAGCTTTTGCTCTTCAAATTAATGAGCTAAATATGAGTATTGACACTTATTCAAGATAAGAAGTTCACAACTTGTGCTCTGCCACAGTAAACACTGAAACAAACTTCCAGGGCTTCCGATCTTAGGCAACTGAATATTTTGTTCTTTCTGCCAGATATTCTTTTATTTTTGTTATCTTTTTGTGATTTCAAAAATGCCAGTTTTTCTTTCAGAAATTCTGTGTCCTACTGCTTTGTGATAGGGAATTCTGCTACAGTTCGTGGTAAAGAAAGAATTATCATCATACTAATTTGGCCAAGGAAAATCCTCCCAGATTTCATCTATTTTCACAGATTTTTGTGGCTTTTAATTATGATCTTTTTATAGTCATGCTAGTCAGGCCGGATGCATGTATCAAATCTTGTACCTTCAAACCTGAGACTGAGCCAAAACAGGATGTAACAAAAGAAAAAATCATCTATTTGTCTAAAAGCAATAAATCCCTGTTCTTGTATTAGCCACTTGAGGGAGACAACGAGCCACAGGTTACATTTGTCTGTCAGTTTGATGGATCACATACAAAACTGAATTTGTAATTGATGATGGGTTTGCATCCATTGTGTGTTAATTTTAAAAAATACTGATCTGGTGTAACACAGAAGGCATAATGTTGTTCATAGCAGTTCATAGATCTGTCTGATAGTTTTCTTCTCTCGCTTTACACTGTTGAACAAGACAGGGTCATCTCAAGACTTTCACTAACAGCTCTTAGACAAGAATATCTAGCCTTTTCAGATGGTATCTCAGGCTCTATAATTAATATCCCGAACGTGGTCAAGGTCTAACTAAGACTTACTTACAGGTTAACTCACCTTATTGTTTCAGTGAAGTGCATTACATTAAGAGGCCTAAGATACAACACTACAAAGAGCCACAAAAGAATAAAAACTTTCCCTGAGTCTGAATACCTTTCAACAGAGAAGCATTACTGGGACATTTTATTTTACTTTCTTTGGTGCCAGTCACAATGCATCGTATAATATCTTCTATAGACTGCAATATTATGTAGACTTTCCATGAAGTCTTTCATGGATTAAAAACCTTTATATTTAAAAAGGGTTCTGTTGTTTAACATAGATAGCTTTATGTCAACTGTCACTCATCACTATGTCCTCTTACCTGAAGAGGACATAGAGATGACTTTATTTCTTCATTTATTCCTTCTTCTGAATATTCAAAGAAATAGTAAATGGCAATCCCATCTTCAGAAATGGTGAGAAGGAAGATGTGTTGCAGAAGGAAAGGATCTGGGGGTGTTGGTCTACGCTTGCCTGAACATGAGCCAGCAGTGTCCTCAGATGGCCAAGAAGGCCAATACCATCCTGGCTTGTATCAGGAATAGTGTAGCCAGCAGGACCAGGGCAGCAATATCTGTACTCTGCTCTGGTGATGCCGCACCTTGAGTACTGTGTTCAGTTTCAGTCCTCTCACTACAAGAAAGACATTGAGGTCCTGGTCCAGAGAAGGGCTACAAAGCTGGTGAAGGGCCTGGAACTTAAGTTCTGTGAGGAGCAGCTGAGGGAACTGGGGTTGTTTAGTCTGAAGAAGATGCTCAGGGGAGACGTTATTGCTCTCCACAAATACCTGAAAAGAAGTTGTGGGAAGCTGGGGGACAGCCTCTTCTCTCAGACGACTAGTGATAGGACTAGAGGGAATAGGTTCAATTTGTGCCAGTGGAGGTTCAGGTTGGAAATTAGGAGACGTTTCTTTTCAGAAAGAGTAGTCATACATTGGAACAGGTTGCCCAAGGAGTCACCATCTCTGGGGGTGTTTAAGAAAAGGTTGGATATGGTACTTAGAGTCATGGTTTAGTGGGTAATACTGGTGGTTAGGGAATGATTGGACCAGATGATCCTGGAGGTCTTTTCCAACCTTAATTATTCTGTGATTCTAAGACCTACAGGCTTGTCAGGCTCAACTCTATCACTGGGGAAGTGATGGAGCAGCTAATCATGGATACCATTCCTAGGTACATGAAGGACAAGAAAATCATTGGGAGTAGTCAACATAGTGGAAGTCATTCTTGACCAAATTGGACATGGCTTAGTGGGTGACAGTGGTAGTAAGGTGATGGTTGGATCAGATGATCTCAAAGGTCTTTTAAAATCTTAAGGATTCTATGATTCTATGAAATTGAAAAACTTCTTTAATGAAATGACTGGCCTGGTAGGTGAAGGGAGAGCAGTGGC